GTTTTTTAAAAGTCTGAATTTGCAGTATGAAAAAGAATGGAGAATTAGAAATGCCTAGTTTTATTAGTTTTGACATTTATTACTTTTGAAATATAACGGTAGTCTTCTTTTTTCAGGGTAATCACTTTGATCAGTTTGAAGAAGGACACTTGGAAATTGAACAAGCATCACTCGACAAGCCTATAGAATCGGTAAGGTAACCAGTGCTTAATTTTGGGTTTTAGCCAGTTAGGTAGTGTTCGTGTGACACTTGATGTGCATGAAGTTAAACTTATTAATAACTGATAGTACAGTTTAGAGCTGTTTTCTTGCATGCCCTACAATAAACAAATAGAGTTTGGGAAGTAATCTAATAATTAATATGTTAGGAAATAAGTCCCCCAAATCTAGAAACAAATTAGAATTTTGTTGGAAAAATATTATTTTGGCCTATACTGATAATCTGTTAAAGATAGCAAGTTAAAATTTAGTGTTTGTATAAATTTAATAAAGGAGTAAAATGCATTTTGATCCTTTAATAGCTTAACCTTTCCTGGGCAGCATAATCATGTGTGAAATGTTCCATTAGAAACAGTTAAAAAGTAATACGTTTTTTTTNAACACGGTCCGTTGTTAAACTGTCTAAACTTGTCATTATTGTCAGCATTTAATACTTGTGCTTAAGTGTACATATTTAATAAGGGTTTTAGTGAGTTACTGGTAAAACTCAAGTAGAGGAAGAAAATCAAAGAGGGAATCTTAATCTTTATTAGCAGTCAAGACAGGGCCCCTTCCCCTCTTAAGAAACACTAACTTCTTCTCTCTCAGGAAAATAAGAAGGCAATTTAGAGAGCACGGATATTTTAATTTTAGCATTTATTTTCAAAACTGTAACATAGTAAAGGATCAACATATATTTATGTTCCTAATTAGTTTGATGTTGTGTGTGTTTGTGTGTATGTTGAGATGTTTACAGAAATTTACACAACATGGGGTGTTTGACATTTTTCTTCCAAAGCAGTTGGCCCATATTAGCTAAGCAGCCATGATCTGGTTTGTTTTGCACGGTCTGCCTTTTAAAATATATCTTCTCTAGGGTTTCTTTCTCCCTACATCCCCTTCTTATTTCTGTCCTTTTGGTCCAGTGAACACTGCATATAGTACCTTCTGTCTTA